AGGCTCGAGTTCTCGTTAGGACTACTTGCCTCAGAGAGGCAGGTGTGCAGACGTCGTGCGACGCTTCATGCTTGGCTAGACGTTTGTGTTGTAGTAGTGTCTTGTTAATTACTCCTGTATAGATCTTTTGTCATAGCTAAGTAAAAGATTCTATTAAACTGACTTAATTAAAGAAAAGGACATAGCAAATAACCGTCCCTTAGATAAATTGTAATACTGTAGAGAAATGACTATCATAAGTAGGTGTAGGAGGGCGGTCTTATCAAACAAAGACAAACAGAAAATTGGTGTCGACACCAGAGTCTGTAATGGTCTTTGTTGTAAGAAGAAACGAGCGTTCTTAGGAGGAGCGGTAAATTCTGGCGGAGGGTATTAAGCACATAGGGCGGTTATAGACATGAAATCGTAAATGTTGTGTCCCACCTCCACGTGAAGGCGATTGTTGTTAGATGGGTCGTGTTTGTTGACCGAGCTTTATACTAGTTGGTAGACCCCAACGCTTGTAGTGGAAGAACATTGGACAACAGATGTCAATGAAGTTTTGGTCTTTGGGCCATTTTAAAACATTTTGCAAGGACAAGTTTACACGTTTGTGAATAAATCCTTCCCTGTGAAACCCCTCTACACAAATAAGACATAACAGAAAGAAAGTGGGTAAACATCCAGTGTTATGAGAGTCCTCTCTTTCGTATATATGTATATTGCAACTCAGAAAAAACTTTCAGTTACTTTTCAGTTTGGATCCGTACTTCTAGGATGGAGAGGTGACTAAAAGGGGAACACATACGCATTCTGGTGCCCAGAAGGAATCAATCGACACACAGGCACCAGTCACCCACAAAAAGACAAGATGGAACAGTACAAAAGGAAGGACACATACACCAGAGACCCAGAGAAAGGGACACGAAAGGACAGACAGCAATCAAAGGACCACACAGATTAAAGGACTAACAAAAGTGGACAGTAGAGAAGAACACAAGGATTCACGAGTAGTAGTGAGTCGGCGGGCACTAACAATGTGGACACAGTAACAATGTGACCGAGGGACACAAATAAGTGGGACAGGAGGGTCACGAGCGTCACAGTCGAAGCAAAACAGAGAACAGTACAAGGTCCAGATTACGCAAACGCCAGATAACGGCTACCAGATACGAGAGTAAACGACGATAACTTTTCAAAAACAGAGGAGTGGTGGGGAGACTACATTGTTCTAAAAGTAAATAAAACAAGAAAAAAAAAAACAACAGTAGAGTTGACTCTAAGTTATCACTGAAAAAACATAGTAGAACGGACGAAAAAACCTTTTTATTTCATAGGTCGGTTTATGAAATGGAGGGACAGCAGAGACCGACTGCCGGAAGGAGCACGTTAACCCAGGATGGAGGATTCACAGACTCCATAGTGTGTCTGCTCCGCTACCCGACACGTCCCCAGTGCCAGTACGTTTTCGACTGGGCCGGGCACACCTTAGGCAGTTCTCCACTTGTGAATATTATTATATGAGGTGTGTAAAATGAAAAATCCCGCGGAAAGTACTGTCGGTTCCTTGTCACATCAGTTAAAACAATTTGTTTTTGTTGTCGTTTTTTGCGATTAGCCGTTGTCTTGTACTTATGTTTTGTGTTTGTGGGTCCTTGGTGAGTAGCCTCCTCTGGTCAGTTCACCTTGTGGTTTACTGTATATTACCCCCCTCGTGATGTCACTCATCCGTCTAAACCTTGTCCACTCAAAAAATTAACCCTAAGACTTATCACCACTAACTACAGACTGACAGCCTACACGCCGCCCCTCCCTCAAGGTCTCAGCCGCTCGTCACGTCGATCTTTCGGCTCGTGTGGTACCATGCTGCTCTCGCACCCCCTTATGCGCAATCGTCGTGGTCGCCTTCTCCTCGCCTTCCCTCGGCTCTCCCCCACATGAGGACTTCTACCAGTCGTCTATCCC